AGCCTTGGTCAGCTTGTTAGCCTACAGCCTACAAGCTTCCGGCCACGCAGGGCTGGAGATCTCTCCGGCTTCACCCCCCTCCCCACCATGCCCTCCTGCCCCATACCCTTCTTGTGTACTCTGGATACGTGAAGGTTCCCCACAACTCATGACCTCATGCACTTGCTTTTTTTCCTCCAGGAACACTTTCCCCACAAGATCTCAGCATCATTTTCACCGTTAAAAGCTCAGCTCAAACGTCACCCTCCCCAAGAGCCTTTGGATGACTTAATCCCCGTTATGCCCACCCACGAGTCCCCCTGGCATTCTCCATACATCCCTGCTTTGTCCTCTTCCTAGCACATTTCACTGTTCGTTGGTTTATGTTTAGTAAACACGGTTTCCTTGTTTAGTGTTTCTCTCCCCTTGTCTCTCTTTCTTCTTTTAAATGTTATTTATTTGAGAGAGAGCCAGAGAGAGAGAGAACAGAGAGAGGGAGCAGACTCCTCACTGAGCAGAGTGCCCGACATGGGGCTGGATCCCAGGATCCCAAGCTCATGACCTGAGCCAAAGTCAGATGCTTAACCCACACAGACTTCCGCTTGTCTCTTGTTTGGTATTGGTCCAAAGACCCGGGAAAGCATGTGACACAGACTTACTGCTCAGTGAGCACAGCCCCCTACACCAGCCTGGCTGGATTTCATCAACTCTCCGCATGTCTGGCCTCACAACCTGACGCTCTCCTCATACTTTCAGGTTCATGGAAACCTCAAGTCCTGTAAGATAGGCCACAAACGCATTTTTGGAAAAATGTTTAAAGTACGCTCTGAAGGTGTAAAACCAACCAGAAAGTCACTAAAGCTTGATGTTAAGAGTCAATCAAAATTTCAAAGAGAAAGGATTTCGACGTGCAAAAGTCAAGATGTAGGCAAGATGGAGCCTTTCCTCGTAGACAGAAGCCACGGTTTGGAATGAAGAAGGCATTTGTATAAGAAATCTCCAGGGAGTCACAGTGACCCCTAACTGTTCCTTCCACTCCATCCCAAGGCAGATTGGTTTGCTTGTGTTGGTCCCCTTCCCTCACAGTTCCCCAAAGACTACCACTGGTGTGACTCATCTTTGTGCCACCCCAGTACTCATAGCACAGGGCAGGACGTCTTCCAGATCTGCTGAACAGAGCCAAGCCGCCTATGTATGAGATGGCAAAAATCACTTTATCAACATAAATGCTGACTACTACCCCCAAAATGCAAGACGAGCACAGTGCCTAGGGCTCCTTTGTGGGTCCCACCTCTGACATAGAATATTCGGAGCTCAGAATTCCCCCTAGGCTGCTGATTCCATGATGTCCCAGGACCAACCTGGATCCGGAAGCTCTTAAAGAATATGCTGGTTTTTCCTTTCAATTATACCTGCAATTCTAATCTCTACCACCAGGCGGCAGTTAAATTTACACAAACGTTATTAAAACTAGTTTAATCTCCAAGACTGCACTTCTCATTAAAATATAGCCCAAATTAAAACATGATACATACATGCACATATTTTTTTAACTTATCATATTGGCATAGATTTAAAAGTATGATAATACCCACAGTATGCAACATTCCTACAGTGTTGGTGGGAATGTAAATTAGAATAGCCCCCAGGAGGGCAATTTGGCACACATCAAAAGCCTTCAACATATGCAAACCCTTTGGTCCAGCAACTCAACTTCTAGATATTGATTCTGAGGAGATAATCATGGAAATACACCTATATCTATTCCCAGGATGTGGATCATAGCGGTAAAAGACTGTCAATACAAACACCATAACCTGGACTTGGGTTAAATTACACAGATGAAAAAATGCTATGTAGCTAGTACATTCTAGAATAATTCTGAAGGATGTGGGAACATCTCATGCTATGTTAAGTGAAAAGAAAAAAAAAGTCTCCAAAGAAGTATGTCCAGTAATCCCATTTTTAGAATCATAAATGAAAACGAACTCACAAATAACAAGTCCCAAAAGAACAACCACGGAGATACTGGGAAGACTTATCTGTGGGTGGGAGCATTATGGATGATCAGTTTTTCCTTTTTTGCGCTTTTCTCTATTTGGGGACGGTTTTCTAATAAACATGTGTATGTTGTCATCAGCAGGGAGCTATTCGTGACTTCTTGCACAGACAGGGGTAGGCTGGCCTCTTTGCAAGGAGGCTGTGCACAAGGTGACCATAGGCGCTTGTCAGTCTACAACCTGCCCCACTGTCCCGCTTGGCTCCTGCGCCCCAGGCTCCTGACTGCGGCTCTTAGGTCCACATATGGACCTGGTTTCAGCTGCTCTTGCTCAGGGGAGCAGCCAGCCTGGATTAATCCAGAACATAAGAACACACAGCATGCACAGTCTCCACCACAACCCACACCCCCTTTGACATTTCTTTTGGCCTCACTTCCTTTTGGGAAGTGACATGTTTTTAACACAAAGGCAAAAAAAAAAAAAAAAAAAAAAAAAAAAATCCTCCCTGCGGCTTGACGCTGGTCCTGCAGAAAAATACCTTCTCCTAAAACTGACTGTTCTCAAAGCCATTTTCCTCTTCCAACACTGCCAGGGAATGTTGGTGGATCAGAGTGACTTCCTGGGCGCCAGGGTGGCTCAGTGGGTTAAGTGTCTGCCTCTGGCTCAGATCATGAGCTTAGGATGGAGTCCCAAGTCCTCTGGGCTCCCTGCTCAGCCCGGAGTCTGCTCCTCCCTTTCCCTCTGTCCCTCCCCACCACTCACACTCTCATTGGGGCTTTCCTTGGAGAGGAAAGACAGCGGCATGGTCAAGGGCCTGCCGAATCCATGCTGCCCTTTGGCTCTGCACATGTTAGCCTGTATAATCTTCCATGCCCTTGACTTCCCTAGGCTCTGAGAGGCGGAGGACCCTGCCTGAGGCCACAGAGCTGAGCCAGGATCCTGAGTTGGGTCTGAGCAACTCCAAGCCCATGGGTACTCAGGACACGGGGTGTCTCTGAGGTGGCCTGTGTCTCTCCTGCTGTGGCAGCCACCCTAACCTCTGGGATGAGAATGGTGGAGCGATCGAACCCCCCTCCCACCCCCTCCCCCGCCCCTAGGCTGGGAAGCAGGCTGTCTATGGGTCAACAGACCTGAATTTCAGCTCAAAACACACGGACCCTGCGAGCCCAGCCAGGGAAGGGCGTCCCACCTGCCTCCTGCCCCCAAAGGCCTGCTTTCCCCGCTGCAGGAGGCTGGTGGGGTGTCACTCCCAGCCCATGGGTATCCTAGAAGTGACCACCCAAGCAGTGGGACTCCTGGAACCAGGCTGCTGGGAGGCACACAGTCGGGCCTGGCTGGCTCCTGGTGCTCAAGGCATGGACACCTTGGACCCAGCAGGGGGCAGGTCCAGCCCAGCCCAGGGAAGATGCCATATCAGTGTGGAAAGGGAAGCCCGGGTTCAAGCTGGGGCTAGGGGACCTCAGGAAAAGGGGCGCCCAGGCCCTGTGCACTCATGGGTGCATGATCCGAGATTTTGACAGGGTCCCCTTACTCCTCGCCAGGCCTGGCCGTTTCCTTCCCAGAAAGCTCCCAACTTCACACCAGAGGGACACAATGACTGCGCTTCCATCCCCCCAACCCCCACCCCTACCCCCCACCCCCACCTCCCCTTCCCCAACTCACGGAGCCCCATCTCTGGCCCAGGCTGGGCACCATGCCCTTCACATGCCAGACCTCAGGCTTAATTCCTTCACAGCCTAGTCACCTGCCTGCGGTGAACTTTGATGTTGGGAGGCTCCAGGCAGAACCTCACTTCACTTCATCTGGACCCCACTGCCCTCCTCACAGTGGGGGAGCTGGAGACTTATAGCCTCACAGCCAGTGAGTGGTCAAGACCAGCTTGATAAGTCCGCATCAGGGACCTGGGGGCTGGTCTGGAACCCTGTCCTTTACCCCCACCATCAGTCAGCACCCTCTCTCAGGCTCACAGCTAGAGAGAAAGGAGTCAATATCACTCTACGCTCAGAGGAGCCAATATGGGGGACGAGGGAAGAAACCCATTCACCCCAGTCACCACCCACTCTTCTTGGGGCCCCCAGCTGGGAGGCACAGCGCTGGCCTGCAAGCCCAGATCTGCCCGGTGCCCAGTGCTCGGGACTGGACTGCCATCCACAGCCCCCTGGGAAGGCGGCTCCCGCAGCACTTGCAGGGAGCACCCCAACCCCCGCCCTCCACCACCAGCCTGTCCCGACTCTGGACAGAGCTGGTCATTAGCGAGGCCTCTGAATCAAGCCACATTTCCCTCCCTCTGTCTTCCTGGCCGGAGGGCACAGAACAACTTCCATCCTCCAACCGCACCCCAGGTCCTGCCATGCTCTCCTTCCACCCCCCACCCCCGGCCGCTCGGATGTGTCAGGACTTCTGGATTTAGGGGCCCTGCTCCTTAACCTCTCTGAGCAGGACTAGACAACAGCACAGCTCCATGTAATTTCCCTTTTCCGGCAGTGCTCACCCAGCCCGGGCGGGGGGATACCGATTTCAAATATAAGCCAACTTTGAGGTTTAATTCAAAGATCTGAGAAGTGATGACACCACAAAGACCACACGGGAACCAACCAGCCTCCCGATCCCTGAGTGCTGACAGGATGCCGGTGGGCTGGGACAAGCAGCCCCCTGCCCGCTGGGGAGAGAGAGGCTGGTGGCTGAGCCAGGGCCGGTGGGTGGGTGGGGTGCTCCACCGCCAAGGGCCGGACCCTCAGCTCAGCACGGACAGCCTGGGCAGCAAGAGTTTCTGGAAGATTCGGGATGCCAAGGAGTCTCCTCCTTGAGCCTCTTTGCTTTGCTTGCAGGACAGCTGGAGCAGCAGACAGATCGCAGCGCTCCTACTACTAATCCTCCCTCTACAGACAGACCTCAGCCACTGAGAGCGAAGGGCGGGGTGGGGGAGGGGGCAGGAGCGCAGACAGTTAAATAAAGGCTCAGAGGAAGAAGATCAGCTCCAGAGAAAAGGGCACAAAGAGCAAAAAATAAATGGCAAATTACCGGGTAGCCATCTCGTCCTGATTGCCCCTGTGGTAATTAATACGTCATTAATAATCAGACTTTGAGCAGAAAACCATATGGCAACACTTATAACTCAATCAGGCGCCCCCCCCCCCCGCCGTGGTCCCCCCGGACTTTCAGCGGGGTTTGCAGTAAAGGCTGATGGTTTGGTAATGACTCCTGGTATGTGTGTGTAGGGGGGCACTCAGGGCTCTGATGGGTCTGGGAGACGGAGCGTCCATTTCCTGCCTCTTGGAGCCAAGCTGGGGGGGGGGGCGCCACCAGGGAGCACACCCCACGTGGTTGGGGGGTGGCCGGCAGAGGGCACATGGCAAGGACCACAGGGGGACATGGTGATTCTGAAGGGTGCTGTCACCGCCACCATGGAAAAGGACTCCCCAAATCAGGGCTAGAGAGCAGAAACGGCTCTGGCTGAGGGGCAGACAACCTTGAAAGCCTGAGCTACGGGGGGGGGGGGGTGGGGGGTGGGGGCTGTAATTTCTTGCTCCCGGATGCTCCTCTGCCTGATGGGCTCTGAGCACTGACTGCCTGGCCACTGTCCCATACTCGGCACCCATCTCAGGCTGCAGCTTGAGAATTCTGCATTTGTTGAATACACCTAAGAGTTTAACAGCCAAGTGAAAAAAAAAAAAAAAGGAAAGAAAAGAAAAAAAAAAAAAGAAAGAAAATCACTCCTCTGCTCTCTGCATTAGGCACTTCCAGCAAGTACAGGCTAGCCTCCCCGTGACAGTCCCGAATGACTCAACAGCCAGAAACTGCCGGTGGCCAATACATCTACCCATCCTCGCCGGCTCGCCCTCTGGCCCGGTGTGGTGCCACTGCAGGCACGGAGGAGCTGCACCCTGAAGGGTGCCCATGGGGCAGGGAGTCATGCTAAGGGGAAGTCAAAAACAGAACTGTTCATCCGAAAGGCATTCCTTCGGAAGGTTCACTTGGGCTCAGGCGGACCGTCAGGGAGCTCCCTGAATGGATTCGTCAGGATGCATCCGGCTCTGCGAAAACTGCCAAGATGAATCAAAGACTCAGCCGGCACGTCTTTGCAGAAGGAGCCCTGAGTTCCGGAGATCTGGGGCGCTGAGCTTCCCCTGCTTTGCGTGCTGCCCCCTGTGGCCAGTCCCTCCAGTGCACCGTCCTCCCCGCTCCCCACTCTGGCTGGCCGGGGTTGGGGGGTGCGGTGCTCCCTGGGGGGCTCAGCTGCCCAAACCTGGGAGGCAAACTTAGTTTGGCCAATCAGGAAAAGGGACCCCATGATTCCTGGCATTGCTGCCCGGCTCCAGAGCCCTTTGCGCCAAAGCACAGGAGGCAAAAACGTTTAAACAAATTAACTGCCACAGAGCATTTAGAAAATGAGGACACGGCACTTGCATCTCTGTGCACCCGTGCTGAGCCAGAGAGTCCCGGAGGCTCGGCCAGACCCGGGCCAGCTCTCCTAGAAGGAAAAAAGAGTCACAGAATGCTTCACAGGGGGAAGTCAAGCCCATAGAATCCTGTGCTGGCATTCATCTACAAAATAAAGAAAAAAAAATATGGCTACTGTCCAGGACTGATTTTTTTTTTTTTTAAAGGACACAACACACCTCCTTAACTAAAGATTATTTTCATGGAATAGTTACAGAAGAGAATGACATGTCTTATCTTTCAGGAACAGAGAGGATAATCCAGGACACTTACGGGAGGACCTGCAAAACACAAGCAGAGAAGCCACATTCAGTGTCGCAGGGAGAGAGGGTCCCCTTGTCCGGGCCAGCCCCCCTCCCTCACACAGCTGCTGGATGCCCCTCCTTGCAAGCCTTTGATGCTCTCACAGGCCCCAAAGCCAAGTGGCAGAGTAGAAGGGGTGCTTTTGTCCTTGCAGGGGCAGGGGTGGTCATCTGGGTGGTAATGACAATTCCCCCCAACTACCCACCCCGCTGGTGTATTGGTTCGGCAATCATTTCACTGGGAAGCCGTTGATCCCTGTCTGGGCCCACCCACGTCTGGTTTGGGCAAAAGCCAGGTAGGAATCTGACCTGTTCCTGCCTGAAGAACAAATGTGGGGGCTCACCTGGGGTCAGTTCATTTCTACTGAAGGGGAAAGACCTGGGGAGAAAACATTTGGGGCAAAGGGCAGAGCACTCCTAAGGGTGCAGGTCTGGGTGTTGCTGAGCAGACAGGCAGAGGGTGCCCGTGGCTCAGCCTGGGGTTACGGGTGCTGGGTCTGGGTGTGCATGGGGAAGCTGAAGGGACTGAGTCCAGAAACACAGGGTGCTGCTCCAGGAAAGGCTGGTGCAGCACGCTGACACCTGTCCCCACCCCCACCCCCAAACAGATGAGGACTCCTGGAGAACATTTGAGAAGCCCACAGGTGTCTTCTTTGCCTCCTGGGTTACAAACCACATTGCATTTGACCTTCTCAGTCATCTTTGCGGGATGTGTGATAATAAGACGAGTGCCCAGGGAGAAAGCAATGACTTGTCCAAGGCCACATAGTGGGTTAAGGGGTAGAACTCATTCTAGAAAGAGTTCTCCTGACTCTTGAACCCCATACACTTTCTGTTAAAGGCATGCTGTTCCCACCCAATCCAGTAAACTCTCTGCTCCCTGGAGGCCTCTGTCTGGATAGCGACATTGGCACAGGAAGGAGGGGACACTCGGCAGGCAGTTGGCCCACGCATATTTGTGGATCGCCACTGATGAGCCGGACCCCCACCCCAGCAGGGCAAGTAAGGGGGCCCACTGGGGAATACAAGAGGCAGGATCTTGGACTTGCAGAATCTTTCTGGGAAGGACAGATGCTTAAGAAATTGACTCAGGGAAAAATGCAGCAACTTCCGAGCCAGGCGGGGTTCTGAAGGGGAAAGATGATTAGGAAGGGGGAGGGAGCTGTGGGGAAGAGATGGCAAAGCCCCCAACGCACCAGGACCACTGGGCTTCTGAGGGGCTGGGGTCCACAGAGGGGAGGGGAGGGCATGGGGAGATGGCCAGCCAGAGCTTGGTGCCCTGTGTCCATGCCATGAGATCTGAAGGGCAGTGGGAAGTAGGGGGCTGGAAGGGTCCTGCTCGGAGGAGGGGTGGGAGGCGTGAGAAAGGGTGCAGGGGAGCTGTCCCCATGTAGGTGATGGTGGCCGGGACCTGCGTGCTCACAATGGAGAGGAGAGAAGTGAGTGAGAAGATACTTCTCAGTGAGGACCCACAGGATTTAATGGTGGGGGGTGGAGGGGTGCACGGGGCATAGAAGAAGGAGAGAAAAGACAAAGGTCTTTGGCTTGAAAAACTGATGTATGGTAGTGCTCATGCCTGAGAATGGTAACGTGGGGGGGGTGCTGTGGGTCCCTCAAGTCTAGACTAGGGTGGGGCAGGGCACTGGTCACGTGGTCAGCTGCACAACAGACTTCTCACCTTCAGCTGGGGACCCAGTGCCTTGTTTTCCCAGGAACAGAAAAGCCACTGGACGGATGCACCATCATCTTTCTGATGCTACATGCACATACCAGCCCGTACGTGCATCTGTCCCCAGCCTCCTGTCTGTGTCCAGCCATGGAAGCTGGAGGAGCCAACCTGCCCTGCCTTCCAGGGGCCCTGCACCCACAGCTTCCTCCCTGCCTCTTGCACTGAACCCACTTTCTCCAGCAGATGCTTTCCAGCAGCTCTGGAAGGGCTCCAATTCCTCTGCCGAAAGCCCATCCTTTGCTCACATGCCCTCTTCGGCTCTGGCGCTGGCTCTCCTCTCCCTCGCTGCTGGGAAGAGGGCTCTCCTGTCACTGCCCCTAACTCCATGCCTTCCACACACCTCGTGACCCTCTGATAGGGGTTCTGTCCCTAGAGTCCCCAGCCACCTGTTTTGTTTTGTTTTTTTTTTTTTTTACCGTTGTTGATTCTGTTTATCAGGTCCTCCAGCGTTACAGCCCCGGCCCTGGCAGTGCCGTCCCCACATCCATACCGAGGTCACCGGGCAGGGCAGTAAACCGGCCCCTGGGGTATTACTGTGACAGTACAGAGGTGTCTCTGCCCAGGGGAACCGAAGACAAAGCGTGGTGGCCTCACCCCTGGCCTGCTGGGACAGACCTGTGGAGTTCTGCCGCCGTTCCGCTACCTGGGCCGGTGAGACCCCAAAGGGCCGGGAAGAGCGTGGGGTGTGGCAGAGCGGGAGTTTGTTGGCACCATCCGATGATCTGGGCGCAGCAGAGATGCTGCTGGGGTCCCTCTGTCCCCCTCCTGCCCGGAGGCCCCCGCCGAGGAAGAGATTGGCTACAAGGATCCTGGTCCACCGTGGGACAGGCTGCTTCCGCCGGCAGTGCCCCGACCAAGCCTCTTGGGGAGCAAAGCCGCTTGTGGGAACTGCCCCTCCGCTTGCCCAGCCTGGGGATCTGCAGGGGAGCCGGGGCCGGCCCCTCACTGGCACCAGGGGGAAACTAAGGCACAGCACAGGCACCCACAGGTGTGACCATACACTGCTTGTAAAAAAGGAAATGGCATTCACTTCTGTACTTCACTCTGCTCAAAACAATATGTGCATTTTTATAAAGTTTCCCTGAATGGTCTTGTGTCCAAAAAGTTTTCTTTGCCATTGGTCAGCCCACCAAGGATTTCTCTTCCTCATCCCACACTGCTGAGTGAGCCCCGCCTTTTGGAAACTATCTCTCCCTTTGGTTTCCAAAAGGTCACGTTCCTCCCGCTTCCCTCGCTGTTCATCTGGCTCCATCCACCCCAGCCTCACACAGAAGCTTCTCAGAGCTCATGGCAAAGGCTTTCTTCTCTTCAGTTCTCCGCTGCACTCATCTGTCCCCACCTCTCCAGTCTTCCCCAGGGATCTCATCACATTCTTGACTACCCTATGCAGAAGCGTCCCGCATAGGGGTCTCCAGGCCCAGCTGTGCCTCAGAAGCCCAGCCAAGGTGCACAGACATGCTCCTGGTCTTCTGCCCACAAACGTGCTCCTCTCCTGGTTCCTAGTCTCTGTGGGTGATGTTCCCTCCCACCCCTGTAGTGACCCGGACAATGATGAGCCCCCCTTGACACGTTCTCCCTCTCCCATCTACTGGCACATCCACTCTGCAGACATTCACAGAGCACCTGCTGTTCTGGGCTCGCAGGACACAGCAGTGAGCATGACAAAGGTTCCTGTCCTAAGAAGTTGACCTTCTAGCGAGGGAGGTACCCAAGATACCAAACAAGTACATCACCTATGAAATGACAAGTACAACGGAAAGAGAGGCAGCAGCGCAGGGGAAGGGGCGCACGGGGGCTGGTCTCTGGATGGATTCTGAAGGTGGAGCCAAGAGGATTTCTCTGGAGCATGAGAGAGAGGAGTCGAGAAAGACGCCACAATTCTAGCGGAATCACTGTAGGAATGGAGTTGCCATCAACAGAGGTGGGAAGACTGTGGATCGGGCGGGTTTGGCTGGAAGGATCAGGAGCTCAGCCTTGCACACACACACACACACACACACACACACACACACGGCACTCGGAGATGTCCCAACAGTTGGAAGTTGGGAAGAAAAGAGGGAATTCCTAGAAGCTGAGGGGAGAAAGTGCACTGAGGAGTAGGGGGTGGCTGCCTGTGCCCTGCACTGCAGACAGCTGAGTAAGATGAAGACCGAGCCCAGCCTACTGGGGGTGCCTGGGTGGCTCAGTCTGTTCAGTGTCTGCCTTCAGCTCAGGTCAGGATCTCAGGGTCCTGGGATCAAGTCCCACATCGGGCTCCCCCATTAGTGGGGAGCCACTTCTCCCTCTGCCCTTCACTCTGCTCGTGCTCTCTCTCTCTCAAATAAATAAAATCTTAAGAAAAAAAAAAAGACCATCCATGGGCTCTAGCCACGTAGGGCTAAGGACAGGGGGAGTGACGGATATGCAAATCTGGTTGGAGATGGCTTCTCCAAGAGAAGGGCGAGGAGGAATATGGGTAGTGAGCACTTTCAAGGAGTTTTGCCCCAAAGGGTTGCAAATACACAGAGCAGGTGCTCTGGGGACATGGGGTCCAGAGAGGGCTACTTCTTCAAGATGAGAGACACAGCCATACGTGTGCGTAAGGGGAGTCATGTAGGGAGGGGAAGAGGTTCCTGGAGTGACGACCTTGAGGATGGCACACAGAGGTGGCCCTGCTGGGGGCAGGAGCCTGGACATACACGTGGGTCTGGCATTTAGTTTCACCAACCAGCGGGGGGATGCTTCCCTCAAGCCTCCAATTGCCTCGCAGGGGCTAGAGTGTGTGTGTGCAATTCGAGCCAGACGGGGCGATGTGGTGGGATCCATGGGCTGGAAGACGCATGAGATGGAAGGAAGGTGGGGGTCAAGGAAAAAGGCAGTGGGCTCGGGTGAGCTGTGTGGGGTTCACAGATGCTGCATTTGCTGGTGATGATGGGGCACTGGTCAATACCGTGGGATGGAGGTCAGCAGAAGGTCCAGCTCACTGAAGGAGCTCTGGGTGTGTGAGGGGCATCTGTGTGCATATCTAGATCCCCAGGAATTGACCCAGAAGGAGTTTTGGTGGGAGGGCTGCAGACCCAGGAGCTCAAACCCAAAAGCAACAAGCAGGGTGTGCCACGGTCCGGCCTGAGTCATTGCTACTCCAATCTCCACTCTGGGGCCAGGGTGCTGTTTTCAAGACGCAGATGGACCTAAGTCCAAAACATGGACTCCCATGCCCCCAGCCCTCATTTTCTCATAGTTCCTAGGGACAAAAGCCCCAACGTTACAC